CGCGAACGTCTCCGCGACCCTGCGGCAGCAGCGGATTTTCCCTGCAACCGCCTCCCTTCGTAAGGAAAAGAGGGGCCTGAGCTGGCTGGGGGGTTCTGAGCGTTGAATCCGCCCACTTTAAAGCGACTGAAGTTGAGGAACAGGCCCCGCCTTCGCCCCCCACTGCCAGCCGGGGCTGGGGCAGTCTGATTGCGAGGGGCTCCGGATAGGCTTTGGTCGGCCTGTTCTCTGGGAGAAAAAATCACGCACTGATTTAGCAGTTTTACCGACTCCCTCTCATAAAATAAATTCCGCTGCATTAGAGCAAGGTGAAGCTTATTCCCACAAACGGATCAGAACCCTGGCCATCCAAAGAGCAAAGTGTCCCAACAAGTTGAGGAATTAGAAAAGTGATAGGTTTTAGGCGTGCACTGGTCTTTATTTAACGTTTTTAATCATCTGCAAGAAAAACGGCTGATTTCAGCTTTGGCACATCCAAAAGTAAGGGGGGAAAAGAAGATAAAAACAGGTCATTTTTGGAGGTGCAGAGAAGCTGAATTCAAGCATCACAAGCTCTTCATCCTGGTTCCAGAAATTAGCACTGGATTTGACTGTCTTTAGAGCACATAAAAGCATCCCTGTTTTACTGTAAGCACCCATTCTGCATTTACAATCCTGTTGTTATCACTCCTAATTTATTTCTGAAGCATCTAATAATATAGCATCTAATAATCCTTCAATCCAATAGTGTAGTGGTATGAATCAAAAATGTTTTAAGATGTCATATATATTGTAACCTGGAAAAATGTTGCATTGGTGCAGAAACAAGCTTTCCACAATTCCCTGCTTCCCTCCCTTGCTTTGTACTTCCAACACTTTTGTCCAGATCAACACAAGGAAAATTGTTGGTTAATCTGAATTTTACTTGGGGTTGTCCTCAGTGATCCAGTTGCTTAGTCATGGTTTGCTGATAAGCCATAGTTGCCCGAATTCACATTAAGCCATTATGTGGCTTGATTTTGGCTTGGTATGTTGCATGCATCAGTATTATTCATAAACCATGATTTATGGCTTAACATAATAGTGATAGCAGCCAATTGTGGCTTGTTAAAGTTTTTAAATTCTGGCTTCTGAATCCAGCCATTATGGGCCTGTGTTATAATGATTCTTTCCCTTTCAAGTTAATCAGAAAGGAATCTTGTTTATCTTTGATTACAATCTACTGATTTTTGTGAGAGGATTTCATGCTCTCTATTATAGAGTATAAATTAAATCTATCAGCACCTCCGACTTCAATATTGTATTCTCTGTGGTTACAGAACAGTCATATACATACACATATATATGAACATATATAGGTGACATGTATGTATGTATGTATGTAATGTATTCACACACTTCTATCTCTGACAGCAGATAAAGTGGGTTGCAATCCGTACCAGTGTACCGTATGCCGTGAGAAAGACGGGGGTTTGTAGGGGGCCAAAATACTGTTTTTTAGCCAACAAAAGCTCCCATTAAAAATGCCAATAGTAATATTGACACATTATGCAGCCCGGTTACACGGCGTGTTGCTCTAACCTCGGTATTAAAAAAGGCACCTTCCCCGCGGAGTTAGGAAGCACGTTCGCATTCAAGCCTTATTCCAGCAGCCCAGTCCGACTGCAAAAGAAGGACCAGCGCAGGGAGGCGAGAACAGGCAAGCGGACTTCCCGCTACCCCCGCCTCCCTCCCTGGGCTCGCTCTCCCGGGGCGTTTGCCCGGCGGGAGCTGCAGGAGCGGAACGAGCTCCCTTTGCCGGATGCGATGCGGCAAGATCCCGTCACAAAGAGGGGCTTTGCAGAAGGGTCGCCCGGCGACAGGGGCCGGGGTGAATCGTCTCTCCCTTTCCACCCCGCCGCTGCTCCCCTTTCCCTGGGATCTCGAATTTGCTCACCTCACCTGGATCAGTCGACGCTCCAGAGAAGCGGCTGGCTCGACTACCCGGCCCCGCCGCCCCCTCTCCCCTCGCGCGCTTCCCGCAGGCGACCGCGTAGCCCCCGCCGTGAGATGCGCGGGCGCCTCGCGATTCCTTTCTGTCTTCCCCCTTCCTCCCGTCCGTCCAATCCTATTATCCCCAAGCGGGGAGGAGCAAGCAGAGGCACGAAGCGGCCTTGGCCTTGTGGGGAAGAAGCTGCGCTCGGGCCGGGAGGAAGGCCCGTCTGCAGAAGAACAGGGCGGCCCCTTCGGTTCCTCCTGGAGCGAAATTCCAGAAGGAGGGGACCGGTTGGGAGGAAGCGAGGGCGGCTAGATGCACACTTACGGGTTTGCAGAAGTGGCTTTATGCAGGCGCCACTCCTGTGCAAATACGTCCGAAATGAATCGGTGCCTAGATTGTAGAGCCAAGACCCCGCTGTTGGTGAAGATACCGTGGACTCGCCCTTCTTGGCAGCCCTGCAGAAGGGAGCTACCTTTCCCTTTTTTCTACGTCGTCGTCTGGCCCACAGGCTGGAGTTTTGTGGGGGCCTCAGCCAAATATTGCCTAAGTCAGAGGCTGCTCAGCTTCTGGGCTCAGGGGAGGGCTCTGATTGCAGGGTTGCAGCCACTATCTTGACAATGTTGACCCCTCACACACACACCCCTGGATTATAAAACACTGTAACACAGTTGTGTGTAAGGAATGGTGGGAGTTCTGTTGACAGCAGCTTTGGTCTGACTGCAGCTAAATTGGAGAGGAGGGCTCAGCAGGCAGGTGTGGGGGGAACCTCCCTAACATTAAGCCAGCCGCTTTTTCTGGTGGGTACGTGTGTGTGTGTGTGAATGTTCCTGGGCGGCATGAGTGAAGAACGTCTGGAGTGTATGCCCCAAGTATATATTCCCACCAGGGTCACCCAAAGCCTGAAGGTCATCCCAGCTGCCCAACTAAAGCCAGCAGGCATCTGTGTTGGGCAGCGGTAATATAGGAAGGTGCTGAAGCAGAAGATCACTTTAGTGACAACAGCAAAGACATCACTTTATACTGTGTGGGAGAAGGCAATGGTAAACCACTCCTGTATTTTTACCAAGGAAACCACATGGACAGAAAATATAAAATGATTGATGATATAGTGCCGGATGATGGCCCTCTCAGGTCAGATGGCACTCAACGTGCTACTGAGGAAGAGCTGAGGAACTTCTGGAGAACTAATGATGCGTATCATGTAGCTAGATTAAAGCTTTTGGCACATCTAGTTGCTGATGTTACCATGCAGGAAAAGAAAATCCGAAGCTGCAAAGATAAAATTACAGTGGGAACATGGAACCTAGGAGGCATGAATATGGGAAAACTCACCACAGTGAAAGTTGAATTGACCACACCTTGACTTCTTAGGCATCAGCAAATTGAGATGGGCTGGAATTGGATACTGTCAGAAAGAAGACCAAACTATTTATCACCAGGACCCAGAACACAAAGGACTGGCATTACCTTCACAACCAGAAAGTATATTGCAAAAACAGTACTTGTGTACAACGTAGTCAGTGACCCAGTAATGCCATTTGGACTTGATAGCACATAGTCAGTCCTCAATTCACGTAGCCCAGGGCCTCGGGTTATGCCAAATTTTCTGACGCTGGAGCAGGATAGTGATGGCTTTTCCCAGAGCCTCCCATCACCATGGCCCCTCTGCCTGTACCTCTCTGCAAGCTTGCTGCCTGTATGTGCTGTCTTGGAGAGTGCTGACCCGTTGCCTTTATTGAAATAATACTCAGCTACCAGTCCGAGACAGTGATGGAAATGTCCTTTATTTCTGGCAACAATATGATCTGAAATGTCTGCTGAGCAAATGTTGATCTCTGTTCAGTCTTTCAACTGGCTCCATTGCAACAAGTTTTATGTAGCATCGCAGTAAAATGGCATTCGGTGAGCAGTGAAGTTTTTTACCAGTTTCAAAACTCTATAGAAGACAAGCCTTTGACAGCCAGTTTTGTTCATTGGCGTAGCTGCTATCTTGATTATTTTTCAAAACTTAGATCTGTAGCATGAGATAGGATAGAGCCGGCCTCATCCTATTTTAATAATACCTTAATAATATAAAAAGAGCTTTATTTCTTTTCTGGATTTTTTCACAGACACTGAATAGTTTTTGCATTGAATCATTGAAAAAACGGGGTTTTTTTTCTTTTTCCTTTTTCATTCCATAGAAAAATCTGCTAAAGAG